CCAATTTGGAAACATCACGTCTCTCACTTTTTTTTACGTTTTAGGAGCAAGCAAGACATTTTAAGAACTATTTATAAAAAGTTTAATAGTTGAATTATTGTTCATCATTATATTTCAAAACTTTCTACACATAATTATGTATAATGAAACCAATCTCGTTTCCTAAAAAAGTGAGATAATTATTATAGCCCATTTTGAAGTTTAATGTAATATATTTTACAAGCTCAAATAATTTCAGAGTATTTTTTAAAAAACAAAGGAAATCCAAGAATCAATAATAAAATAAAATAATAAAAAACAATGTAAGAATAGTACTTATAAGTTAAATATGAGATAATAAAATTTTCAGATGATTAGATATGTATATAAAAATTGTTTTAATAATTATTCAACAACAACAATCATCGATTAATTAACCGATGACAATGGCGTTGAAGGTGAAAGATAGCGACCAAATAAAAGGAAAAACACGAGCTAAAATATGTCTGGCTGAAAAACATAAAAGAATGTTCTCGGAATGGTACACATGGTCGTTTTGGTATAGAAACGCCCCGTGAAGCTGCAGACTGGTGTTCGACTTCGAATTTGAGTTATCCGCATTGACAGTACAACACAAAAACCCTCCGCGTGAAACACCCCGCCGTGAGGTCGTTCGGTTTTTTAGAATCAAATCGGTGGGCGCGAACAATTTTCATCTCAATCATGCGCTGCATCACTTACCTGGCAGTACCAATTTAAGTGTGTGCGATTGACTTGTTTGAAAATAAATTATTGTGCTCTCATTTTTTTCCGACGTTGGAAATTTCAAGTTGGCCTAATGATCTCGTTACACGGTCAAAATACGGTCAATACATAATGATATAGTCCGAAACGTCGTAGGGAAATATTTCTGCCCAAATAAAAGGCCCAGTGCCAATGTAAACACTTAAGTCAACAGTAGCGCTATGTCACAAACATCATTGCAAGTCGCAAACATTTTATGTTCGTTTTACTTGAAATCAAATGAAAAAAAAAAAATGGAAAGTTTTAGATTTTATGACACCGATCAACATTCGAAACTATATAATTGCATTCTAATGATCTCGTTAACACTAAAAACGATTCGCCGTAATCGATTAAATTACACGCGATTCCATTATTTCTTAATAATCGACAACTCGACAATAACATCAAACGATTATGATGACAATAAATCATTGTCAAATGATTATCAGCACTCGATAATTTTCTAGGAATTACATTGATAATTCATTCGCTTTTCATTCATTTTCGCCATAATTAGTAAACAATACATGAGTTACTATTGACTTGCACTATTTTTATTTTATTTCATAATTACAGTTAATGATTAATGTATATTCTTTTGATAATCTAATGTAAATTATTTATTTATTAATAATTTTAACTCGTGCTTAGATAAATGTGAAATTATGATAAATATTCGTATATTCATTACTTAACACGGTCCACCGTTTTGGTTAAATTGACTGAAATTACAATTTGCTGATATTTTTATTAGAAAATTTTAAATTAATAAACTTTATACTACATGCGAATAAATTAAGCAAACGTTATCTAGCAAATTCACTTTCCCCCGTGAATATTAAACATTGCATTAATATTTATGATTTTTTATCGATGGCCAGTGAAATGATTTTCATGACGAGTGATATCAATTTATAAGCAGTATGAATATTTCAGTAAAATAAATTAGCATTCGATCAATGATTGTGTCTTGTAATGATATAATAGAAAACAAATTAGTTTTGGGAATACAACTGCATAGACTATATATATGTTGAAGACACCTGCAACTTAAAGAATGCTTTTGAGATAATGTCCAAACAGGAAGACTATTTTGTAAATTTAAGACTGCTCTATTGAACAATCACTGTTAGTACTCTTTTGGAAAAATGCGAACGTTTTGATTTTTTTTTTCGACTGCCTTTTTGTGTTTTTAATGTATCGTAACGAAAAATAAAAAATTAACACCTCGAAAAATGAATGTGGTAAACACATTGGTGGCAAACCATATTTTCAAGCAGTAATAATAATAATAACAACACGAAAACCTTTTTTATTGCTTCGATATATTTTTTTCTTCACCTCAGAATTTCGTTATATTATACACATGAATCACGTATATCCGTCTGTCACGTTATTATTATAATTGGTGCCGGTGCATTTACCCAAACGAACGGCTGAACAAGTAAGTGCATGTATAGATATATACACGAAGATGACCGAAGTATAACCCATAATTTAAGACAACGTTGCTAACCCTTTTTTTGAATTAGCTACCAGCTAACTTGGGCTGTCGATGATTTCGTTCAATAACAGGCCTCCGTAATTTTTTCTTGTGCATCACAAGCCCATAGAAGATAACCAGTCGACCGACTCAGCCCGTGAGCGTCACCACACCGTTAATTTCGTAATCACGTTCGGCTTATGATGACGACGACGCGCGAACGCATATAAAAAACCCAAAATTATAGTTTTCAAANGCCCATAGAAGATAACCAGTCGACCGACTCAGCCCGTGAGCGTCACCACACCCGTTAATTTCGTAATCACGTTCGGCTTATGATGACGACGACGCGCGAACGCATATAAAAAACCCAAAATTATAGTTTTCAAAATATCGAGAGGGGTACACACGCAAACCACTCAGGCCATATAGATATATGTACAAAGTGCATATCGACAGATTCATAGTGTGAAATGTAAAACGTCGGAGGGAAATAAAAATGACGAGAGAAATGTTAAAATTAACTCCGATTTATATTTTTGGCCATCAGCAGCAATAAAGCCATTCATTTTTTAACTCAACACTTATGCTATCTAATTAATGACTGTAAACATAATTTTCTGACAAGTATGCACAATCATTTTGTTCTTGTGAATTTTAATTAAAAACATATTTTTTAATATCAATGAAAATATATTTTAGAACTCTTGTTTTTATAAGAAAATATAAAACAAAATCCGATCCAAACTTTAAAGTTGTTTACTTAAAATGTGATTAGAAAAATTAAAAAACTAGTTCAACACATTTTATGATTGAATGAACATCATTACTAATGATCGTTACTGAATGATTCATTAATTATTTTAGTAAACCATAAATAAAAATGTTTAATATGCGTGAGGTCATAATTTAAACGGTGAATTTTTTATAATTAGGTCTACAGCGTTGAATTAATATAATTCAACATTATAATTATGAGTTCTAAATCAGTAAGACTTCGTGGTTATTTATACGTACGAGATTTAACAATGAGCTAGTCTTTATCGTCCAAGTTGTTTTTTCAAATCCATTACACTAAAAAAACATTTTTTTTTGCAAATAGTTTATATATCAACTATAAAAACAACATTGAAGTACTCGTACGGTTTTGTTATTCCCAATAGATTTCTTATTTAATTTTGCTTACAATAGCTAAAAATATTCAAACAATACGCTACTTTATACAAATCTTTGGCTTCTCGTCTTAAATACTATTCTATTGTATTTATTTATACTCGTTTATTTCATACAATTATGTTAATTGACGCGAATGCATCCGACGATATTGTTACGGTTACAATCAAAATTACATAACAACAATTTATTAAATTTTAAATCGAGTTGAGTTTAAAAACGCTAAATAATAATTCTTTAATCATCAATTTACATTTCGCTCCTTCCTTTCAACAATTTCAAAAAACTTGATTTTTCAGGCGAGCTATTTAAATCTTAAAAATGCATTGGAGTATGTTGAAAATAAATAATTCAATCAACTATCGATTGGTTGAATATTTAGTTTTGAATATAACGGTTTTGTTAGAAAATATTACTTTTTTTACGACATTCTGAAAAGAGCTGTTGAAAAGAGTGAGCGATTTATATTTTTTTGAGAAATCACTAATTACTTTTAACTGAATTATTTACTAATAAATTACTACAATTATTATTTCGGGTGTCATCTATTTGAATATTTATGTATGCGTTAATAGTACTCAAATCTGTGTGATTAAAACAATGAATTATTTATAGGTTATTTAGTTTGAGGTATAACTATAGACGAAATTTAAAATTAATAGCTTTCTTGCCCCATAATATGGGTTATATTATGCTCCCACATTTTTCTAAACAATGGATAGTATTAATCAAGTTTGAGCGATTAAATTAAACATGAGGGAGCTAACCAGGTTTGAATTGAGGGGGCGAATGCCACTAGGCCCATAACAAACATTACTAGCTACATGCAGATTTTCTGGTTTTTTTTTTTTTGCTAGTTACTTTTTTATGGTAGCGATATTTTCCATAGTTCTGACCCATATTAAGTTATCGCACAGGGAACCATTTAAGTCCTAATCCAGCCTTGGAGCTAATGTACTGTGTGCCCCAAATACGTCAACGGGTATAGCGCATAGCTAAATGGTAGCATTTAGTACTATAATTGCACAGTGAATTTTTTAATTAATTATTTACTAAATCAACACACAGTACGCGCGTTCATTTAAAAGACGTATCGTTACACCAGTATGAGGTGTCGGATTGTTTTGGACGTGTGTGGTTGAATTGAATAGTTAAAGGCCGATAAAAAACCGAAGACACGGTCTACTTATATTGTATGACCTAATTATTAATCGGCATTGGACATCTTGTCGTCGGTCGCAAGAGCAATATTTTTTTGCTCCATCTTAAGATTTTTGGTCTCATGGCGCGCGAACCTGTGTGTGTGTGCCGACTACTACGCCCAGCGGGTCTTGTGTGTGTGTATATGTGCGTGCACTGTGGAACTAGCGCAACAATAATGGAAAAGGTAAAGAAAAGAATGGTACATGAAACGTGCTGGGTAATAATGGACCGAGAAAATAACATACAGAGACGACCGGGGCGGATGAAAAGACCGAGGCGGTATCGTTTCAAAGACTAGGCCCCGGAACAGCGAGCAGCCGCCGCCATACAGCAGGCATTCCGTGAAGGAGCCCAAGGATGAGCGAGTGTCATGCCATACTAGGCGATCGCCGTAGCCAGTCCACCTCAGTTGCTCGTCAGCATTCGAACGCGCTAGTTGTGTTGGCCGCGTTCGCACGCGCACGGCCGTTCTCAGTGTTCAACAACACCATTTGAGTGGTACATACGTTTTATTAAGTACGCACGTTCGCGCCATATGATATTTTCTTCTAATTTCATTAAACTTGTTTTTTTAACCATGATCGTGTTTTGAGTGAATTTTTTTTGTTAATTTTATTCGTGTTCATATTGTTCGGTACACATTCATGGGCATCGCAAAAAAAATGGAATGGCTCAAGTGGATACGAAAATATTCCACTGGTAAATAGTTATTATTATATTTTTATCTCTACACTGCTATTATAATTATTTTATCTTCACCGGTACAAGTCGCCAGACTTTCACGTCACGCGGTGCGGCGGAAGTCTTTATACACTTGTTTTACGACTCTCGTTAACGGTTGTTTCGTTGGGCGATTATCTCGCCGACATAGCGGAATGTTGCGTTTCACGTCCGCCGGCGTACCACCTACTCGACAGTAATACGATTGCCGACCGATGTCGGCAAGAAAAAAACATGTACAACCTGGTGGTAATAATTTTTTTAAGTACGACAAAACTGCCGTTTGCATTGTTTATGCGGCTGAACTCTGTACGTGTCATGGCGAACGCGGGAAAAGTATCTTGAGGTCGATGAACAACCGCGTTGGGTTTCTAGAAGGAAAAAACGCGACGTAGGCGTCTGCTGGTGTCTTTCACGTGTTGATTTCCTTTACGGGCTTAGGTATGGCTCAGTCGGATTCCCGTAGGAATGAGAAGAAAAAAAACGCCAGCGTTTCCATTTTGACGACTCCGTAGATTAAAATATTTATTGTACCGTTCCTTTTATGTACAAATCAAACGGTTATCGATTCCCTTGTTCGTATTATGCGGACTGGCCGATACACTCGGACATGCGGTTTTTTTTCTTACCGTCAAAAGAATTCGAGGGTCCCGCGCGTTTCCTTGGAAATAGGTTTTTTTCTTCTCTCAGACAACAATAATAATGTTTTTCATCATCGCTGCAGTATCCAGCTGGTTCTATTGTAACGCATCGGGTCTCCCGTGAATCGGCAGATAGGAAAACACGGAATGTTTGTGGGTGGTGGTGTATCGGGTCCCCTTGTGTGTTAGGCGTTGTACCCACGCCTTTTTGTTTACATGTTTTGAGTCTTTTTTTTTTTTTTGCTTTCTCGCTCTCTTTCTTTCACTCCCTCCGGAAGTCTACGGTTTTCATTTAGTGATTTCTTTTACCAATCTTTATTGTTCCAACGTTATATTAGCCCTAAGTAAGCATTTCTACGGCAATATATTTCAGCTATACAACCGACTATAGTTGTTGTTCCATTATAATACCAGTTAGGAAAGTAAGTATTATTTAACCGAGCAAGTAGGGAGCATGTCTTGAGTACACCCCCTTACCTTGTCGGTCAACGGACCACAATTTCTTGGAACTGAGATCGCGTGCTCCGTTTTTATCTGCCGACATTCCGAGAACGGACCCAATAAACCGCATTACAACGGTCATCATCGTTCCACGGCCGTTTTGTGTAAACGATATATGTTATTATAAAGCCGCTCATCGACAGTTGGGCCCTTTTTTCAGACTGCTGCATTCCAGTACCACTTCACCCCTTCCCACTCCGCGCCGACTTCGGTGTAGGACGTTTGTAGCCAAGATCACTTTTTCTCACTGTTTGATATTGTTGTTTTCATGAATTGCGATCAAAACCGTTGTTGTTACGAGTTCAAGGTTGTCGTCGAATCGGTGCCAATTTGTTTTTTTACATTTATCATTAGTAACACGTGTTATGCGTCTGTCGGAACAACGGACATAAAATTAATTGCGGTCACTAGGCGAAAAGCGCTGTTACTGACATTTTCCTGGATGTTCCCAACCGGCGGTGCCTTTCGCACAAACATGACGAACAAGTTCCCGACCGAAATTCGTAACGACTTGGCTTGTTACAACAACTTTTCCTGTGTTCGTCGGCATCGTTATGACGCGCAAGCCGCCGCCGACGGACTGATATGATAAGCCTAATAAGCGATTTTTATGATTCTTTGAACAGAAAAATATGTTTGTGTGTTCGCGCGCGCGGCCACGAGTGTTATATATGATACCATGTATATATATGTATGTATAAATTTATATAGGTATATAGTATAAAAAATAATGACGTGTCATGTATTATGCCCGCGCTCCACGAATACGGGGAAAAAAATACGAGAAAAAGAAATAATATTACCGACCAGCCGGCCGGCGACTAATGTTATGTCGGCGGCTCCGCCTTGTCGGTACTCTTTGTAGCCTAGAGTCAAGGCCAAGATTATATATCTCAACCAAAGATCTCTTCTGAAACGTTGTTGCCGCTTGTTATTTCTCTCTCTGTTTCACTCTCAGTCCGTTGCCCGCAGATATAATTGTAAACGCGGCCCAGCAGAACAATACTCGCGACGAAAACGTGTTATTAGCATAATAATACAAAAATCCGGTCCCAAATAACAACAATAATCCCGTCGATCCGAATCGAAAACTGCCGAGTTTGGGGTTCTGTTTAGTCTGAGGTTTGCGAGTTCCTCGATCGAATTTTTTCGTTCACCTTAGATTATCGTGTGTATATTGGCAATTCGGGGCTTGGACGTCTTGCTTTGGCCGTCGCGGCAATAGCGAAATGAAAACTCGAATAAAAAAAACTAATATTGCAGTTCTCTATTTGGACGTTTTGTTTTCAAGTCGAGGAATGCTATGCGTGTGCGTGTTCAGATGTTAGTCGAATCGGACGCGTTTGCTAGAGGAGAGTGGTGCGGTGGCGGTGGTCGGAGGGAGTGAAAAGATGGATGGATGTGCTTGGCGGTACGTATCAAACGTTGGCCGCTCTCGCCTCCTCCGATCTACGTCGCCGACAACCGAAACCGGTTTCGTTTCCTCGACCGTGTGTTGTTGTTATTGCCGGTGCAGCACTCACGACCCGCCTCGTGTATCGTCTTTCTCTCCATTACTCTCGGCCGACACCGCATACGTCCGTCCCGCTCACTCTCGATGAAAACTGCACCATAATAATATATTATTATTACACATACACATACGATCGTTGGTATATTGTGTACATGTTATTATGTACATGTGTGTGTGTGTGTGTCTATAGAAGTACCGCTTCGCTAGGTTATTATACGGTGAAGCGACGAGATCTTACTTGTAATATTATTATAAAAACCACTTGGGAGATTTTCGTGGTCCGAAAATATTATTATAATACTTACGCGCTTACATGTCGGTGGTACACGGCCAGTAAATCTGAAAAAATATAACGTACCGTAAATAATAACGATGGCGACCGACCTACGCGCGCAGAGATTCGTTTCCCTACGGATGCTGCGTGTCAAAAAAAAAAAAAAAAGGATAGAAATGGTATCGAGAAAAACCGTTGTAGGAGTACCTTTAGCGTGCGTGTAGAGGTCCCACTCGCATGCCTAATCGCGTTACGTTCATTAAAGTGCTATTGTTCGGTGCCGGGTCGCTATAGCCGTCCAGTATTACGGTAATAATAATATTAGTAGGTTTTTTTTGTGTGTGTTGCTCCCGCGCGCGTAACACAACAAACTGGTTCTTTTGTTTTTTTTTCTACGGTTGTTTTACACTCTATACCTGCCATTATAACCGCAACCCCCTCAGTACGAAGAAAACATAACTATGTTTACAGGCGACGTCCACCTAATGTGTTTTAGCTACTGCTCAACACTAGATTTCAATAATGTATATACTTTTTTTTTTTTTTTGATTAAAAAATAGTGAATTCTACACGTTAATTTCTACATTATGTTAATGTATTTAAGTGGATTTTAATTGACATTTTTTTTTTTTTGTTCGCAGGCATTCTGGATTCGAAAACTGGTAGCATGGAAACGCTAATCGACTCGGTCAGTTCGAAAACCATCAATAATTACGGTTACTCGTCTTCTGTGGTCGCCGACGATGAATTTATTAGTCGCCACGACGAGATTTCTACATCAACACCAGCAGCCACCCCAAAGCAACGGCCTATGTTGCCGCCACCCATTTCACCAGAGTCACCTACTCCACCACCTTCACTGCCAAACAACGTAAGACACCCTAGAAAATGATTAAATTTTAATACACTCTAACGTATGATGATTGTGTTTATGAAACTCTGTTTCTCTCCGACAGGACTTTGACTGTTACGTTTCACTCGACGGAATACCCATCAAACAGGAATTCCAGTATACCGTTCAGTCGGAAACCGATGGGTGCGGAAAAATCACTAAACACGTAAGTTTATTGCGTTTTCTACAACTTGGCGCGTGTGTGTCGAGGAGTGAGTAGAACGCGGTTGACACGCAGAAAAATGTTTTAGCCGCGTTAATTCGTTTAGACTTTGGGGAGCCCATGTGACACGACGGCCCCGCAGACCTCGTAGGGAGTGGCTACAATCAGGAACTACT